TCAACCCCATCGTTGGACTGGCTTCGAACCATAAGACATCGTCAGCTCCCTCGACATAGAGCCCGACCAAACTCAGGACACGCAAAGGTCGCGACAGGTAACCCAGCGACAGTACGAGCAAGACATGGCCATCGCAACACAGGGACTTTCGGAGCGCGGCATCTCAAGGTATTGCTCTAACCTTGCACACACGCTACGCGAGGAGATGTTTCAAGCACTGTTCAGAGCAAAGGATCGGGAGCCTGAGGATACAAACGAGGAATCAAGACGACACGAGAAGACCATCGAAGACTTCATGGCAATGTCACGACGGTCGGATCGACGCTTTGATGACTCGTCGGCATCGCAGCCCCAGCAGTCGCTGCAAGATCCTGAAACATAGTTCCTGGCGCTGTTGTATATGCTCTTCAATCACAATCTAACCCTCATATTGTCTGTCGTTGAGAGATGTATGCTACAGGTCCAGCGGCGGATGCATGGTGATGGAAATTGTATCACCGATTGGCGACATCGTGTTAGGTTCGCTACGCTACCATTCAATTGTGATGAACGGCTGTTATACCGCACGACATACACACAGGACGTAAGGAAAAGTCAAAGACTCCCAACGTGATAATGTTGGGGCGCTCAAAAAAGTTGCTACAGTATTCGCTAATCACAACCTCAAATCCAAAATACCGTGTTTTTCGAATACCAGGAAATTTGATACCCCGTTCTGGCTCACGCGCGGCGCCGCCAAAACCTCTCTATTCGAGAGACGCTCTGACCTCCCGCAAATTGCTCGAGGGAATGTTTTACAATTCCGACAGGGGTCGGTCTAACATCGAAGACCAGGCTACCGATGTAGATCACACCCATGACTGGGTCTTGATGGCTACACTGGTCGCAGCAAATGGGGCGGAGGAGTAAGCTCTCGAATGCATTCGCTACCTGACCCCGTCTTGCCACCAACTATACGACATGTATTGCTCCAGTTACGACCTCTTGACCACGGAGAGCCTGGGCTACAAGGATCCGGATTTCCGACGGGTTGCGTGGTGGACTCCCGTTGTGACCGCTTCCACCTTCTACGTATTCTGGACCACTATCATCTCGTCTCCCCTGCGGCTGGGCGCTTTCGTGCTCACGGTGGTGCTTCCATCTGCCACCCTCGTCATGACGGCTCATCGGTACATTTCGGCGCATAGACTCGCTGCGCTCAGGCTGACGTTGCCGCCGGCAGAGCTGCATCGCGCTACCCGATCGCACTCGCTGATGGACCCGGGTCAGTTTGGTCCGAGCCTGGGTCTGCTCATCTGCCTCGCGATTTTGGTGAATGTAGACGCGGACACATCGAGGAACCGTTGGCTCGACATGTTGGCCCCGGTGGCCAAGTTGGGTGCCGTTCCACTGAGCCTCTGCGTCACGCTGAACCTCGCCGTCCCGCTGCTAACGCCATGGACGTCACGTGTGACTTTCTACGATGGGCCATCGGGCAGCGGCAGATCATGGAAGAGAGTCGGTCATACAAATGATCGGATCGATATTTGGATCAGGAAGGTGATGGATGCCTCAACGGGAACGCAAAAAGGGGTGTGGGAGCTCAAGACCTCGTACAGCCCAGACAGCAGACGATACAGACTCGAAAAGGCTGGCAGGCCCTTGGGTGCTGTACTTCGTATCGTCCTGTAAGGTCGTTCGATTGCTCAGCCGATGCCGAAACACAAGATCCGAGCCTGGGTGTGTTTCCCCCCTACCTGTGCTTCTGTTGCCGCCTGCGCTGCTATACAAGATCCGTTGGTCGGATATGGGTCTTTCATGCTGCCAACATCGCCAAGCATGTGGCCTACAACACAGCTGAGAGATGATAAGCCTGTTCCGAGCAGTTGGCCAAGCATAGCCGCCTTGGTCTGGGCCCATCGCTCGGCGGCCGGAGCATCTTGCATCGAGTGAGTGAACGGCGACTGCAAGGTTGCGCAGCGACATTTGGTTGTTGGCAGCATTCGCGAATCGATTCATGCGCTGGGTTCTGCAAAGAAACTGGTGGAGTGGCTGGGCGACGGCGTGCGAAGTGCGAACTGCGGATACGGATGCGCAACCGGGTCGCGATGAGAGAGCTCTCGCATCGGAACTCGGAGCGGGAGGAGTGGGGCGCGAGCCAGGGTCCTCGGTTGGCACCTGTTTTTTTGGTCGTGGATCCGTCCGTTTGTTCCTTCGCTCGACCCTTCCTTCCTCACCTCGTTGTGTGCGCCGGTCGCATGCGAAAACGCTTGTCATCCACGCTCCACGCTCCATGGATCCCATTCCAGCGGGATCGCGAGGTGCGCTCCGCCTTCATCCTGGCGCTCGGCCGTCTCGCGAGGATGCCAACATCAGCGTCTTGCCTTCCCAGCGGTGGACCTTCCAGAGCGATCAGACCTGCCGTGACGCTCGATTCGCAACCTCGCCCTGGATCACCTCGTCCGGCACTTCTCACGGTGCCACGCTCACTCCAGCTACAGCGCCCCCTCCATCCGCCATCCGCAGCCTATATCTAGCTACCGACGACGAGGCTCCCGCTTCCATCGATGCAGACATCCTCGCAGCCCAACGCTTCCTGCGCAGCCATCATCCTGACGTCGAGATCCCCGACCACATCCTCGCCCAGGTCTTTGTCGAGAATGCCAGCGACATTCACGGACGCGGCTGCTCGCTCGATGGAGGAGCCATCGGTCTGGCTGATGCACAGGCCGTCGCGCTGCTTGGTCCGCTCGCTCTGCCGGACAAGCGCATCTATGCGGTCGTGTGTATCGGCGGATTTCATCGCAATATGCTGCTAGTTCATCAGCTGCAAGTGTCCGCACCGAGACAAGACGACAGCGCTTCTGCCGTGCAGATTCCGGAAGCTGGGCCCTCCACTCGGGCGCTGCAAGAACTGCCGTCCACCCAGCCAGACGCTCTGCGCTTCATTCCCGCTCACCAAGCACAGCACACGTTCGCGACTCCGGTCCTACAGATTGTCGCGTCCTCAGATCGGATGCAACTCGCTTTGCGGACTCACTCGGCCACCGCTTTCTTCTCGCTTGGCCCACCCGATGCCTCCGCGCTCCAACACGGCCCCCAGCTCCATCCGATCCACCATGTTCGCTTCGGCCAAGACGGCTCCACCCAGCACCACGACATCGCCTTTAGCCCGTATACCCCCAACGTCGCGGCTGCCGTCGATCGCGACGGAAACATCACAACTTTTCGACCGCAGACTCGCCACCCGGACTCTGGCGGCTCAGACCCACCACCACCGTCCAAAGATGCATTGCCACCACCTCCTTCATCCGCCGCTTCCAGATCGGCAGAATGGCGAAAACATGCTCAGCCTTCGCGAGGCTCGCCTGAAAGCGCTGCTCTCTCCGTTGATGTGCAACACATCGATGTGGGACGCGGCATTGGGCAGATGCAGCCACAGACGGATTCGCGCGATCTCGACGGCTCGTCGACAACGGAGCCCGTGCGAAACGAGCGACCTTCCTTTGAGGGACCTTATCGCATTGCGTTTGGCGCAGCAGATGACAGCATCATCCTTCTCTCTCGCCATTCGATCCTCAGTATCTGTGTGGAAAGTTCGGATGCGGTTACGGATGCCGCACCGACTGCGCGCGTTGCTTCCGTCTTCCAGTCGAGCTTCTCCACCGCTTCCTTCCGTCGAGCGCGATTTGTCTCCATGGCTACAGCCTCGTCGCAATCACAACACCCGCTGTTGGCCGTCTGCTCGACCGACTCGATCCACTGGTTCCACCTCGGCCACGAACTTCGTCCGCTCTTTGCCGTCGCACATCATCGTGGCAACGATCCCACTCTGGCCTTGACTCATCTCCCTCGGACGGAGAGGTCGGGCACCAATACCGCGTCGGAAAACAGCAACCTCGACAAGGTCATGTGGACGCTCTCCTCTCGTAACAACAATGTAGTCTCGTGCTATACTGTCACCGTCGACTTGAGGATGGATGCAGCCTTCGAGTCTTGTCCAGATCCAAATGCATGCAGCAGCGAGGAGAAGTACAAGCTCGGCGACGCACCCTCGCTTCTTCCTTCGCCGTTCGTGACGTCGCATCAGCAAAGGCTTGGGGCTCCACCGCTTTTCGTTAGCGCCACCGAGCTTCTATCGCAACAGTGTTCCCCGGCATCGTGGCTCAGCTTCCACATGACGGAACGCGGCATGCTCTCGGCCCAGATGTTGAGGTTCAATGTTGATCCCCTCGGCGAAAGCGCCTCGCAGACTCAGCTCGGCGCGGAGCTCCAAGTGGCCGAGCCGCTCGTCCCAACACAACTCTACCTGCATGACTCTGTCACACCATCGGCAACGACGTGCGAGGTTGATTCGCTCAGCAATGTCAAGACCCGCATCGTCGACCGACACTATTTGCAGCAAGCCATCTTTTCAAGGCAACGGCTTCCATACAGGCGCGAGCAGACCGACGTAGAAATGACTGCCAACTTGACAGAGCGTCTTCGTCAATCATCTGCAGAATCCACCACGGCGCATGTATCGACCCGAGCATCCACTCTGACGCTTGGTCAGCTCCTTCGCGACTCCTGCCCCGGTGCCGCATTGAAGCAACGAGACGACTCGAGCTCCAAAGCCTCGTGGTCGAACGTCCCCGATCCTCTGGCTGGCGATGGAGGAGCGCAAGCAGCCGAGTCCAGCATCATGGCACTCCGAAGAGAAGTTCGCCACGCTCTTTCCTCGCTCGGCGTGTCTCCGGCGCAACATGCATGGTCACGCTCAGCTACCGCGGCATCGCATGCGGGCGAAACGATCGAGGGGATCGACCCGGCCATCACTGGCGATGTGGATCCGCTCGAACACGCTCTTCATCACAAGGACGACCAAAGCGAGCTGGCTCCGTACCTTGCTTCCCGTGCTCGGGTGCAGTCTTGGAACTCGACCGAGCGAATGGCTACTCAGCGGTCGCTGCGGGATGCAGCTCGACGCATGGCGCTCGATCTAGCGCTAGAGACCGAGGTCTTTGTGCGACCCAAGGCTCGCATCCTCGACGAGGGCGCATCGACGCAGAGGCCACAGCAGCGGCGTGGCACCAATTGGACGCCGCTCGAACACCGCGACATCTTTGCCTTTGTCGAGGAGCAGGGAGGCACTGTGCCTCCGCCGCACGTTGGAAGCATCGGGCTGTCGTTCTTTGCGCCGCTGCGCAGCAACGATCTCGAAGCTGCAGCGGCTGCATCCGCGAGCCAGAGCAGCGACGGTCAGGGGCTGAGCGGTGCGGACCTGGAGCGTCTTCTGCCGAGCACTTCATCGACGGCACGCCTGTTGCTGTCAGAATGGCAGCTGGGTGAAGATCCGAACGAGTACACGTACGTCGATCCGTTCGAGGGTCTGCATCGGCTTCCGAGGGCAAGTCGACTGCGAGGCTCTTCGGCACGTGCGCGCTCTCGCTCCTTCTCGCGTGCGTCCAGCGTTTCAACCGAGGACCGTTCGAGGAGCCGCAGCCGGAGTCGAAAGCCTTTCATGGGTGGGTCATTTTCGCAGCCGGAAGGCCATTCGTCTCCTGCGCCGGGCTCATCCTATCCTGCATCGGTGGCGTCGCACAGTCAACCCGTGGGCTCGTCGTCGCTTGCACCGCCCACTCTTGTGTCGAGGCGGAAGCGGCCGCATGGCGGCGTGATTTCACGCTCGCAACCCTTGCGTGCGCCGGGAGCTGAACGCGCACAGCCGCGGAACGACACGCTGCCAATGTCGGTGCTGGCAGTGTCATCGACGCCTCCGCCTAGGTTTGACGCCGCCCAAACGCAGCCGGCTCCGCCACGATTTGGATCGCTGATCGCATCGGAGGTCGGCAGCCCTGGCCCAGCTGCAACGACGGCCTACACCCAGGTCGAAGCGGGTCTCTTTGGAGCACGTCCAGCAAACACCGACCGACCTCCCAAGAAGAAGAAACGCGCGAGCGGATTCTAGTTTGCCCTAATTCGCAACAGGAACTTTCTCGAAGCCAGGATACGTGCAAAGTAGTGCTGAACTCTGTATTGCCATCCGTGTCAATCTAGTGGGGCTATGGAAACGATGTGAAAAGAAAAGAGCGTGGAGGGCAAGGGCTATCCCCGCTGAGTGAGATGGCCGGCTTGGCCCTTGGGATTGTAGTCGAGGTGGATGTAGGAGCGTTCTACGCCGGTGATATTTTCGGTGCAGTAGGTGATGATCTCGCCGAGGTCGTGCGACTCCTTGAGCGAGATGGAGTGGGGCAGGACGATGTCGGCCTCGACGATGAGGTTGTCGCCCGAGTGGAAGAGCTCAAAGGCGGATACGCTGTTGACCGAGTTGAAGCGAACGACGCAGTAGAGGCACTTTGAGATTTCGGTGGCGGATGCGACGGCGCCCGAGAGCTTGGAGACGGTCTCCCAGAGCGTCTCGATCCACTCGTAGATGATGTAGATGGAGAGCGCGATACCTCCGATGGGGTCGAGTGCAGGCCAGCCGAGGCGCGAGCCGACGATGGGGAAGATGAGCGAGGCGATGTTGAAGACGACGTCGTTCTCGGCATCCTGGGCGACGGCGCGTACACCGGAGGACTTGGAGGAGCGGTATAAGAGCCACATGACGGTCTTGATGCCGATGGTGGCGAGCATAAAGGCGACGCCGATGAGCGGCAGACTGGCGGCGGATTCGGGATCCTCACTGCCCGTGGCGAGCACCTCGCGGAGCCTGCCGACGGACTCGATAAAGACTTGCACGAAGGAGGCGATCATGAGTACGGAAAAGATGACGACGCCGAGTGGCTCGAGGCGCTGTTTGCCGACGGGGTACTTGTAAATGGTCTTCCAGGAGCGGTAGGCGATGGCCTTGGAAGTGCCAAAGATGATGATGGTGGAGAGGAGATCGAGAGCGCTGTCGACAAACGAGGCGATGAGCGAGACCGAGTTGGAGGAGAGCACGGCGACGCCCTTGCCTGCGAGGAGGAGGATGTTGATGAGGAGGTTGATGTTGATGGCGAACTGGACGGAGCGCGAGGTCTCTTCCTCCTTTGCGCGGCTGGGGACGGTGCTGAGGAGCGCCTGCCTCTCTTCCTCTTGGGAAGCGTAGGGACGATGGTAGCGTTCGATGCTCGGGTCTCTGTTCATGCTGGATCGATGTCGGTCCGCATGAGCTGGCTTGGCGTTGGAATCGGCATGTTCGGAGATGGCGTCGACGTGCGAAGGCCGAATGGTGTTGGCTTTGGAGCCCGAGGACGAGACGGCTTCCTGTGGCGTTTGTGTGCCGCTGACGGAAGCGGGCGAGTTGGCGCCGGAAGCAAGGGCGAGCTGGGACTCGGAGCGGCGGATCTGCTCGATGCGGCCCTCGCGACGAAGCTTGTCGAAGAGCTGACCTGCGGAGGAGGCCGAGGTGGCGCCGTAGTCGTTGCGTGCCGAGGTGTTTCGGATGTCGTCGGTGGCGCTAGGTGAGGAAGCTAGGAGCTGTCGAGTTGGAGCACGAGCGCGATCGTTGTGATCGTCCTCCTCTTCCTCTTCGGTGGCCGAGGTAAGGTCGAAGGGCTTGGGTCTAGATGCTTGACGGGACCTGGAAGAGGAACGTGGCTGACGAGCTTGTTCGAGATCTCGCCTGCCGTCGCTCATGCGTGGGCTGGACGAAGAGCCGAACCAGAGTCCGCTGAAAGCGTCGATTGCCTTTGCACTGAAGCTGCGCTTGATGGAACGCTTGTTGCGGCGGAGATCCTCTTCTTCGGTTTCTTCCTCGTCCGAAACGTTGCCGTCGCTTTCGGGTTGTTGGCGGTGACCGTTGTTGCTGGCTTGTTTGTTGCGACGCTTGTGCTTTGCGGCGTTGTGGGGGTGGTGACGACGTTTGTTCTTTGCTGCGATTTGGTCCTGGTGGAGGAAGCGACGCATGACTTCGTCTGGGAAGCGCGAGTCGAGGATCTCGTCGACCTCTCTCCATCCGTCAAGGGTCTCGTTGAGTCGTTCGTAGTACTCGGATACGGCGGCGGCCTTGGACCATCCGAGATGCTTTGTGCGGTGCTTGATCTCCTCTTCCGACAACCTGTGATCCTCAAAGTAGTTGGAGCGGTAGTCGACGAGGTTGGCGAGGGCGGAGATGTTGCGGACGGATTCGGCTCTCTCTGGGAATCCGTGACCGTGTTTGCTGATCATGGCCTTGTAATTGTAGGCCGAGGAGGAGGGGAAGCCATGGGATGGGGTGGCGATGCCAAACGAGCTCGAGCGTCGCTCCGGGTTGGTGTAGGAGGTGTTGTAGTGATCGTAGCCCTGACCGTCATCGGAGCTGACCTCGGGCCCATCGTCGACTGCCGGCTCGTTGAAGGATGCAGGGATGCTATCGAGAGAGGCGTCGCCAGCGTCGTTGGTTTGGAAATGCACTGCGGATTGGTTGGCGGTGGTGGATCGGGCAGTGGATGGCGATTGCCCAGATACGCTGCGACCCGACGCGTCGTTGGGAGCGCTCATCTTGGCGCACAGATGAGCAGCAGCGCAGCAGCCACCGCCTCGTCGGAAGCGCCGAAAAGCGTGATGAGGGTGAGCGGAAGGCTTCCGAGATGGATGAGAGCGACGTCGACAAGGAGGAGGAAATCGACTGCATTCACAATTTTTGGCCCATCGGATGGAAATCCGCGCACGGGCTTCGACACAGATCCGCAGCGAGGCGGCCTCACATTTATGCCATGTTGAAGTGAGCTCGACCTGACAACCGCCGACCGCGTTCGCGCTCCAGAGTGAGACCCTGAAGAGAGTGCAGCAGCCGCGACGATGGGCGTCGCCACTCGGCCTCGGACCCAAGCGACCAACCAACACTCCACCCGGCGAGCCGAACCCCCTCTGCCTCTCCCTATCGACCTTATCGGCCGCCCACCACTCGGAAGCATCCTTCCTACACCAATCCGCTTCCCTTGCGGGTCGGCTCAACCGACACGGCCTCGAGATGCAGTCGCCATCCACCTCGGCGCTCCTCGTGCCCCTGCCACAGCCAAAGATCGAGCAGCTTCAAGGCGTCTGGTTCCAGCGCAAGGGCGATCCAACCTGCCACAAGGCATCCCTTCGCCTCACTTCGCACCATCTCATCTTCCAGCTCGGCCCAGCATTGGCTCCGGATCAACCGGCACGCACCCACACGGTCCCGCTCTCCCTCATCCTCAAGGCAACCCGCATCCCCTCGCTACGCATCTCCACCCAAGCATCGCAACCTTCCCAGCGCATCTATCCCATCACCCTCTTCCTCAAGAACTTCGACTCGGCCGCGATCGCCCTCCACTCCGAACACGACCAGCTCGCCGTCTTTGACAGCCTCAAGGAGTGTGCCATCCTCACCGACGTCTCGCAACTCTACGCTTTCCACTATCAGCCCTCCTCACCGACACAGCCTGGGCGGATCTATGATCCCAAGCAAGAGTTCGCACGTCAGGGCCTCGGCTCTCGCTCAAAAGCCTGGCGCTTCACCGACATCAACGCTCAGTATGCCTTCTGCGCCACCTATCCCGCCCTCATGGCCGTGCCTTCGCGCATCAGCGATACCACCCTCAGCTACGCAGCAAAGTACCGCAGCAAAGCACGCGTCCCCGCTCTCACCTACCTCCATTGGGCAAACCACGCCTCCATCACCCGCTCCAGTCAGCCCATGGTCGGCCTGAAAAACGCTCGCTCCATCCAAGACGAAAAGCTCATCGAGGCCATCTTTACATCCCACCATTTCGCCGATCCAGAGTCCATCACTGCAAAGGCTGCCGCAGACGCCTCCAGTAGCGCCACCTCGGCCGCCGCCGGTGCACCCGCCGTCGCAACCGTCTATGGCGCCACCACAACCAACCTCATCATCGACGCGCGCCCCACGACAAACGCCATGGCCAACGTTGCCAAAGGTGCCGGCACAGAAAACATGGAGTACTACAAGGGCTGCAAAAAGTCCTACCTCGGCATCGAAAACATCCACGTCATGCGCGACAGCCTCAACAAGCTCACAGACGCGCTGCGCGAGTCCGAACCCATCGCCACCTTTGGCATGCGTGTAGAGGCCCTCGGCGACGCCTCGGCCGCAGACGCCGTCTCGGACGGCTCCGGCTCCGTCCTGCGTCTCAACCCTACCCCCGTCGACCCACTCGCGCTGCGCCGGTCCATGTGGCTCAAACACATCCAGTCGCTCATGGAGGGCTCCATGTCCATCGTCCGCAACGTGCACATCAACAGCTCCCACGTCCTCATCCACTGCTCCGACGGCTGGGACCGCACTTCGCAGCTCGCCGCCATCGCACAGATCTGCCTCGACCCCTACTTTCGCACCTTCGACGGCCTCGCCGTGCTCATCGAAAAGGACTGGCTCAGCTTCGGCCACAAATTCACCGACAGAGGAGGCCTCAAGGGCTCCGACCGCTACTTCACCGTCGCCTCCAAGCAGACCTACGCCAACTCAAACGATGCCGACGCAGACGATGACGATACAGACTCTGAGCTCGACAAGCCTGCCAGCGCCTCGACCGGCGGCGGCGGCGGTTTCGACTCCCAGGCGGCTGCCAACGCCTTCTGGGGTTTCACCAAACAGCTCACCGCCAACTTTTCCGCCGCCACCTCCAGCGCTGCCTCCGGGCACAAGAAGGGCTCCAACATCAAGGAGACCTCGCCCGTCTTTCACCAGTTCCTCGACTGCATGTGGCAGATCATGCGCCAATTCCCCGATCGCTTCGAATTCGCATCCAGCTACCTCGTCGAGCTTCTCCAAGCGGTGCAGGAGTGCAAGTTCGGCACCTTCCTCATGGACTGCGAACGCGAACGCCTCTCGCCGCGCGACGACGAGGGCAGAGTGCTGCCGACGCTCCCTTCCCGGACTATCAGCGCGTGGACATATCTGCTGAGCGACAAGGTCAAGTCTAAACATCGCAATCCACGCTATCAGCCCGAGCTCGATGACCGCGATCCCAAGCGCAAGGGCACCGACATGGGCGTCCTCATCGCAGACTCGCGCGACGTGCGCTATTTCGAGCAGCTCTTCCGCCGCGCCAATGGCGACATGAATGCCGCGCTCGAAAAGGAAGCCGAAGAGAGGCGTCGCGCGAGGGAGAGGCTGGAGCGTGCAGTTCGAGGCACCGATGCTGCCACCTCTCCTCCTCCTGACACTGCCAACGCTCAAGGCAGCGATGCAGGCAATTCCGCCGAGCCAGTTCCCGTGCCAGTGCCAGGCGCCGGCGAACTAGAGAAGGCGGACGCGACCATCGCTGTTGTAGGCGCTGGTGATCGCGACCCTGTCCTGGACCCTTTGGCGTCCGCCGCTGGCGTGGCAGCAGGAGCTGTCGATCCGTCTAGCCACGCTCCGCTCGATCATAGTCGTCTTTCGTATCAAGCTCGTCAACCACGCGTCCGAGCGCAGCCAGGTGCAGCAGCAACGTCATCGTCATCGTCAGGCCCCAGTGCCGCCGCAAATGCAGGGCCCTTGGACTCCTCCGCGGCGACGGCGGCCAATGTTTCGAGCGCGGCGGATGCAGCGGCCAATCGCATGAAGAATCTGCTGATCGGCGGATGGGGCCGACTGCAAGAAGCCATGGCATCGCCGGCCATAGCGCCATCTGAAACCACACCAGCACCCTACCAGGCTGGCGGCCATAGCGAGGGGGGCTATTCGGCATCACCAGGCAGCGCGCAGCCGACGACTGATAGACACGAGGCTCCGACGGCTTCGGCGCAGAGTTACAACGCCGACCCCTTGCAGCAGTCTTACAAGCAACGCATGCCGGGCTCGGCCGCGCATACAGTGCACAACCCTTGGGCGGCAGCGACAAGCGTGCGCGCCGAGATGCAGCGCGAACACGTTGCCATGCGCTCCACCTTGAGCGGTGCCGGAGCCCATGGTCTAGGTGCACCACACCGCAGCCAAGGAGCCGGCGCGAACCAGCCAAGCAGGCACGATCAGGCTCCCAACGGCCGTGATGGCGTCCATGAGTCAAGCGGATCCGAGTCCAAGACCGACGTCAAGACGAGCGCAGGCATCACCTCGGACCCTCTCGGCGTGCTTTGAGCGCGCGCATACATCAGTCCAGCTCTGCTAGTTGGTTGAATGGCATATTGCATATCTTTTGGAAACCTTTGCGCGACTGAGTGTTTGCAATATAGCGTGAGTCGATGGCATTCGTTTCCAACGGTATATACAAGGGAGAATCGGTTGGACAGGGTGACACGGGGAATGCAACAGAGCAAGACGGGGGCTAGGAACTAGAAGAGCTTGTTGTACAGGATGAGCAGGATGAGCAGCACAAGGCAGACAATGATGCCTACGGTAACCAATTTTTGCTGTTTGGCCCTGCAGCGATCCAAGGCGGAAAGTCAGATGGAAGGGGAAGCAACGAGGTCAGCTGGGTCTGTGCACATTCAGCTTGGAGGTGGCAGGGTGGGCATGCGTACCGTCGGATCATTTTGGACAGAGTCTTGGACGAGCGGTCGATGCTCTGATCCGCTTGTCGGAGCTGCGAAGAAGACAAGATCGGGAGTCAGTAGCGAGCTTTGCAGTCAGTGCTAATGGTGTCTGGGCTTACCGTATCTCTCGAGTTCTCGATCTGTTCTCTCTGGCTTCTGAGGTCGCGGAGGATATCGGCGCCGAGGTCTTCGGTCTCGAGCGCCAGGCGGTTGGACTCCTCGAGTCTCCTGGTTCCATCCTCGAGCGAAGCGGTTCCCTGGAGCAGTCTCTGACGATTTGCCGTTGCCGAATCAGCCGCCTCGAGGTCTGCGTCATCATCCGCATATGCCGGATTGTATGCTGCGCCCCCTGAGCTGCTGGAGGAAGAGGCGAGACCGGCACGAACCTCCTTGGTCAGACCCTGGATCTCTTGTTTGAAGCCTCGGATCTGGACCGAGAAGCGTGACCGAACAGACTGTGGGAATCCCTGCACCTCGATGTCCATCTGCGAGATCACCTCTTCGGCCTCCTCGAGCTCCATCTCGGCGCGACGCAGCGTCGACTTTTTGGCTTCGCCATTCTGCGATTTGGCCGAGTCGATCTTCTGCCTGATGCCGTCCTTGAGCTGCTGCAGGTCGGAGGCGTAGCTGTCGAAGAGTTCCGACATGGTGATTGCGATGGTGTTGCGGAGGGTTGCGAGGTGAAGCAAGTGAGGAGAGGCAAAGGTGGATGGCGGTTGGGTGAAGCGGCTGCGCCTGCCCGAAGGCGACCCTGGACATGCACGTCCCCAGTGTGCCTGGTTTTTTGGGCGGGCAACTCCACACACCAGCCAAATTCAGCATCCGCACCCCATCCACGCGCATCTCGGCACGGCCCCACCGCCCGATTTGGCAAGTTGGGCGGTCGCTCAATCTTGTGAATCAGGCAATGCGATATAAAAGCGACTGCTTGCCATGGTCTAACATCGGGGGTTTAGCTCAGTTGGTAGAGCGTT